GCTAAATAATTCCTTCTCAAGGGAAATAACATTTAGCTGCTAATAACAAAGAGTCACCTGTGGCAAACAGTCTAATGCTTCCATTATTAACATGACGATGACACTGTAAAAAAAAACCTGTGTAATTAGCAAAAGCAAGAATTAAATAACTCTCATATATTGGGCAGAATGGTTATTGAATTTGCTTCAAGTACATTTATTGATGAACATCGTAGCGTTATTTGAAGAGAAATGCATGTCGCTCATTACCTTTCATGTCCCAGTTTTAACAAGTGTTAATCTTATTTGAGATGGTGCAGATATATAGTCCCCTTTGATAAAACAAGATCTCATTCATAGAGATGCGTCTCAGCTACTACCACGTATTATTTGTCTCAGTATTTATAAAACAGACTGAGCTGCTAGCATTCATCTTGAATGAGGTTGACTTCCAAAGTTAAATCCCATGATTAATTTACATCTTCCATTAAATCCAACCTCTGGTTCATGAGATATTTTGCTAACACTAAAGACAAATAAACGGACATGAGCAAGAACGCCACTGCTTTCATTGGTGCTCAGTAAATATCCTAAAGCAACTGTTGTTTTATTTTGTTAAATATGTCTGTAAGAATATTTGGGGCTCCGTTTGTGCCTTTATTGCATTCATCTTTTGAGACTTCAACAAAAATGTCATGTAAAGCAAATCTGAGCTGCTGTAAGGCAGCTTCATGTCAGAGTCGCTGAGTCCAAACTCATTCACACAGACAAAGTTTGGACCAGTGTTTGTCATTTGAAGTGCTGCCTTCATGTTTCACGAAGCTAACACGGGTGCATCAGATGCTGTTGGCACTTAACTGACTCACATCTTCAGAAGCTGAACTTTCATGCATGACCTGCTGGTGTTTGGGAGGAGCTGTGAATCATTTGAGTTGGATGTGCAGTGAGATCCCCCACCATCCACCTCTATTTATTAGTGGGTGACTGACTGAGGCAGTCTCATGAAACGCAAGCTCTCTGCGTGCTCTAACAGTGCAACAGCACCACCCTGTGGCCATGTGGAGAACTGCACAGAGACTTTAGAAAATGTACTGCCAGTCTTCATTTATCCAGAATATTTTGTTATAAAAATTGACCTTTAGTCTTCATGCGATTTTGTGTTTTGGTAAGTAAAATAAATCACTACGGGTCTTTTATATCTTCTTACACAGATTTTTTTTTTTTATTATTATTTTGTCCAATTTCCCTGAATGAACACAATTATCAGCCAAGATCTGAACAAGGATCATTCCCATAAATGTTAATGTCTCTAACCCAGTGCCAATCTGCCAATCTGGTTGTTTGTCACCACAGAAGATACAATGGCTGTGTAACTCCAATCCACACCCGTTTTTTTCCTGGACCTATAAGCTAAATTCTACAGACAGTTAAACATTTTGGATTAAAGGCACCATTTTTATTTTATTTTTTTAATTTACACACATATAATTTACACAAATTTCTCCTGGAGATTTCAGCTTGTCAAGATGAAAATCATTCTCCTCTGTGATTAGAAGTTTTTAGAAAACTTCAGTCTGTATTAAACGAGGAGGACATGGCTTCACCTTAGCATTTTACCTCAAAGCATAAACTCCTTTTAACTCACAAATAAAAGTAATAAATCTGAATTATATTTAAAGAGCTTGATGAGGAGTCCCTCAGAACATTTTTACATTCATGTATTGTACAATATGCATTAAAATATGTAGTTTACTGTCTTTGTCCACCTTTTGCCACCAGAAAGGCTATCAGCTTGAGAGGCATTGTCAAATTTGTCCCAAATTATTTGTTTGATCAAAGTCCAGGTTTGAAGGCATGTGCATATCAAATTAAAGGTTTTATTACAGCGCCACCTACTGTCTACAACCACAGCCTGGGTATAAAAAGTGCTGTGTTGTCATCACAATGAATAAATTAGTTCTCTGCATTTATCAACAGTGGGAAGCTGTAAGTGTCCAGAGAGCAATTAGGCATTGGGTGTCTTGCTTAAGGGCACCATGACATGTGGGCATGGCAGGGAGTTGAACCTGCGACTTTCTGGTTCCAAGTCAGCTGCCTTACTGTACACCAGAACAGCCCCTTAAATATATAAACACATGGAGCAGAAGTTGTAAAACTTAGAAATTAAATAAAGTTATTGGCCAAATTTAATTCAATTCAGTTTATTTATATAGCGCCAAGTCACAACAGAAGTTATGTCAGGGCACTGAATAAATGTGATAAGTTTTCCTAAATAATCACATAAAAATGTAAATTAAATGCCCTCAATAATTTTTTGGCCAGCAAACAGTAAATAATAACTCGGGCTCAACAAGTTTTTTTCTTTCACATAAATAATCAGCACATTTAAACACCAGTGTTGTCGTCACCCTCTAACAGGAAATCAGAGTAGCTCCTCAAGACGCCGTCTTATTTGACCCTAATTTCTTCTCTTTAATATGTAAAGTCTTGACCAAGAGACGTCATATTGAGCTTGTTAATATGATCAATACCACATGTGGTCAAACGCTCAAATATAAAAGAATCACAGTTGATCAGAAATAACGAGGCAGCTGTTTTATTTATCATACATGGCATGATAATGGAGGCACAGACAGTAAACATTCGACGACTGTGCATGCATGTTGGGTATATCCAGGTAATGTGCAATGCAGTGTTCAAACAGAAGCACATATTTCATAGATAGTTGGAGGCTGATGCATGATTTGAAGCCAACGCCTACACAATTAACACAATCACAGATCGTCATGAAGTTGAACATTTGTCACAACAATAACCTAAAGAAGCTGTTAACAACACAACATGTCAGCACAGTGTCAATCTTTTATATCTTTTCAAATCATGGCTTTCCATCTTTAAAGGCTGCGTCAAAAACTTTTGGTGGATGTAAAGGCTTCCGTTTACTTAATGACATCACTCTGACATGTATTTGCACAATACCACTATAAGATGGATAGATGAACACACCCGGGGTTTAGTGGGATAAGTGCCTTAAAGGAGACTAAAGCTTAGAATTACCAGTGGGTTAGTGGATTTTTTTCAGCTGTTAAACCTTCTTTAGATGTCCAAAATTAAATTATAAGTCCGGGCATATGAACGCTTTCAGTAAATAACACACTCTGTAAATCTATAAGGAACATGTTTTTTAAACAAAATGAAACTTTTGCCTAAATATCAAGAAAAATAGACATTTTCAGAGTTATAGACACGTACTCATATTAAAGAACTATTGAGCTCCAGTGACGTAGACGTGTCCTCCATTACACTGCAACATCGCTCATGTGCAAGAGTTACAAACGCATCAGTTTTATTTAATAACTTTACTCCAACCAACCTTTAAGACAACATTATGGGGCAATAATTTCCACTGAATTCTGGGTAAATGAAACCCTAGAAATAAAAATAGATCTTGGGAATGCTCAGCTCAAACAATGTAAAAAAATAAAAATAAACATTGCTATCAAATGTGATAGTGTTATAAATAAAATGTACGTGCCTGAACATGTAAAATACATATCAGCTGTTGGAAGGAGAAACATTTTTCCTCTCATTCAACACAACCAGTTTATAGTACTGGTGCTAATGGGTAAAACGTGAACTAAAGTATATTTTATAAAATATTTGACATACTGGAAACACACAGTAAAGAGTTGGGTATTTCAACTTACAAAATGATCCAAGTTTCTGTTTGAACTGTTTCACCTTATTGAACAGGGGAACCTCGACATCAGGGCCGGCGGCTGCTTAGGGTCCCGGGGCCACTAGGGGGCCCCCTAAGTGGATTTTTTTTTTTAGTAATGATTTCTATATGATTCTATTACACACAATTTAATTATAAATTTGTGATTTTTTTTAAATATTACATATATATATTTGTGTGTGTGATCATGTAGAAATCATTCTCGATACATGCAGAAAGAAAAAAAAGGTCTTGGTGGCCCCCTAGTGGCCACAGTAGGTCATGTTTTAACGGTAATGTGAGCTTCCTGCCTGTAATGAGAAACATCCAAAGTACTGGTGGATGACAAGTACGCTAAACAATGTCGTAAAAAAGGGCATATCCTTCTGGGGCAGGGAAAAAAAGATGAAGTTTATGTTAGGTAGGTGAAAGATCTGATCATGTGACTTTTGATTGCAATAATCCACATTATTGGCAGTAATCGAGGGCCCCAAACCAAATTTCGATTAGGGCCTCATGGAGGCTTGGGCCGGCGCTGCTCGACATAGTGAAATGTTGTGATTCCACTTGTTTTTATTTGGAAAAACGATTACTTTAATTAACTCTGGTGCTCATTGCTCACAAAATATAGTTACCAAAGGGTTGGGTAAATTAGGAAATGCTGCAATTACTAGATTTTTGTACATCAGCAGAGTTTGAAGACCAGTCACAACACCACAGATTCACCACTGGTTTCCAACAAAGTTCAGACGGTTTGAGATTTTGCTGTCGTGTTTTGGAGCAACTGAGCTAATTTCTTCTTCGAGTATTATTGTCAAAGAAAAGCAGCCAGTCATGTCACTGCCTGTGTGTGTGTGTCTGTTAGCAAAATATCTCATGAATCACTGGACAGCTTTTACTGAAACTTTCAGAAAGTAAGCGCTGGATGTACCGTACATCTACTACTAAGTTTGAGTCAGCCCATTTTAAGATTGCTGCCTCAGCTTATCAATCTTAGCTAACTGTCTATTTTACAGATACTGAGCTCAGATCTGGTGTGGTAGTAGCTGACTGTCATCCCCTTCATATACTCCGAGCACGTCTTTGTTTAAAACTTTTCCATGAGAGGTGGGCAATATTTATTTAAAGAATGCTACTTTTTTAATACTGTTACCTTACACGTCGACTCCTGCAGTGAGTTCTTTGTTACTGTCTGAAACAGGATAGTACTGATCCGTACAAACACACAGCACAGTTATAAATCAGCTGGTTTCTCAACAAACCTGCACTGATGCCGTGACCTACACCGGCTTTGTGTCAGATCAGTTTCATCACTGTAGAGAAGAACATCACCAGCGAGAAGTAACTTTGAATTGTTGAAAACTTCTCATCACTACACCAAGAAACAGAAAAAGTATTCTAGACACTTTTAGGGGTCATCTCAGGTCATTTAAGCTTTCATTACTGGATTTTCTGCTGGTTCCAACATCTTGTCAAATGTCATTCATTCTTTGTCTACAGTAATGCAGGTTAGCATATGATGCTAGCATCAAAAGCAGAAGTAACGTGGTTACACCAAAAGAAGTTGGCAGAAAGGTTCAGGTGAATATCGTGTTTGATTGATGCACACAAAAGTCCAAAACCTTTTCTCAGTGAGGGTTTGTAACAGGCTACAAGAGTGAGAATACAAATCTTTACTGTGATGTAGATTATTGGTTAAACTCTGTAAACGTATTATTGTTCGACTCGTCGCTTTTTGGTGATGACTTTCCAGATGTTTCCATTAAACTGTGGGCTCCACTTTGGGATTTAATTTAACCGTCTCGGTGTAAATGCAACAACAAAGTGCACATGTTGAAAACACCGACCACCGAAAATACTTCATGCAATGATAAATAAGTTACATAGACGTCCCCCTAATGTATTCATAGGTTGTAATAATGCTTTTTATTCTTTAATGAACACTCTCTTTCCCTGTCTGGCTTTATCTCATCTTGTTTTGTTTGTCAAATCCATGACCTTTGACCTGGGTATTTTATGATTTGCAAAAAAATTAAAAAAAAGGCATATAGGACATGTGATTAAACTTTCCTCCATTCTCTGCAGAGCTTCTTTACAACCACACTGTAAACACTAAAACTCAGGAGTGCATTTCAGTCTTTAGCCTTCGGTCTATGCAGGAAATGTTTGCTGTAAAGGCCACATGAAAGCCACGAGTTTTGGGAAATTTACAGCATCACGACAACTACACTGTACGTACACAAAGTCTCACCCAGACGGAGTGGAAGCGGAATGTGTCTGGGCTAATGTTTGGCTTCTCGGGGGTAAAACTCGGCCAAGGTGCTCTGAGGGATCCTCTTCAGCATCTCTTTGGGGAAGATCCTCATGAGCTGCCATCCGATGTCCAGAGTCTCGAACACACTCCTGTTCTCGTAGGCGCCTGGGTACCCAAACAAAAACACAATGGTTCAACAACAAACCTGCTACATTCTCTTGACAAGGATGATTCTGCAGATTTTCCTGGTACGGTAATCCCTCGATATTTTGCGGTTTTTCAAAGTAAGATTATACACAAGACAAAAAAATTGTACACGACACATGATTGCCAACTTTAACATTACTCATGTGATTGAGACAGTACTGGATACTGTACAGTAAAAAGTTAACGAAAAAATAAAATACTTCGGACAGGCGCCACCATTTTGTAGTTTTCTTTCAATAAGCCTACATTGTATTCCCACTCATAACAACTACATTTCCCAGAAGCCAACAGTGCCCCACCTAGAAGCTCTGTTGCCTTCTGCTAAAACAAAGGGAAAGTTTCGATCTGAATTCAAAAAGTTCAGCCCTTATTCATTCAGTGACTTCGGTGCCCAGCGGTTGCAGAGAGCCGCACGGAACCCACCGGGAACCGGACCAGAACCAGACCTCTAGACTCATAAATCAAGCTGAGAGCTGCTTGCCAGCCCATGAGGTCTTCTGATTGAGGACACGCTGCCCATAGGTCTGGCATTCTCTCCAGAGCCCACCAGGACTTCCCCCATCCAAATTTGGACTTTATCGGACCACCGTCTGGTCCTGTGCTGGCGATCCAAAGGTCCAGCTCCCTCCAAAATGTGTTGTGGTGCTCAAGGGCTGCACAGAACCGGACCTCCAGACTCATTGGTCAAGCTGAGAGCTGCTTACCGGCCCATGAGGACTTCCGAGCGGAAGCGCACCACCTGGCACAGTAGGTCTGCCGAAACGGAACCAAGTCGGACCGGAACCCGGCAGAACCGAGCTGCTGTTGTTCTGCAGCGCTTGTGAGTAAAGTTTAGTAGCTACATATGCGTATGTTGTTAAAATGACGTAGGTTTAAGAGCTTAGAACTTTGCAAGAGTGTGGAAAGGGTTTCTAAAGCCTTAAAATATATAAAAATACTCAAATAAATATAAAGTCCCTACTTCGTGGATGTTCACTTATTGCGGGGGGTGGTCCAGAGTGTAACCCCCACGATTAACCAGCAACTACTGTATCTTAAAACTTTTAAGTTGGGGTCCATAAACTAATATGCCAATTAGTATCAGTGAAATAGCACAAAACCAAACAGATAATTCTTTAAAGCCTCATTTCATGGATCAACACACCACTTGAATCGCTGTTGTTTGCAGATTAAGTGGTTCTGATCAATTCTGCAGAACTAAACCACAACAAGCACCGGAGCGGCCCAGTGTAAAGCTGTTGGAACCAGAGCCAGTCATCACGAGTCTGAGGCCAAAGTTCCTTGTCAAAAATGTCACATTGCTCCATCACTGTCATCACTGAGATTTTTAATGTTTGATGCTATGGTGAAACAAGCAAAGCTGGAAAGTACTAAATCTTCAGAAGATTTGGTTAGTTATCAAAGGACTAAGATTGTGGATTGAAATGGCAGAAATTGGATCTTTATTTTCTTTGTAATGTTGGTCTATAAGCTCAGTCTTTCAGGTCCTTCAGTTTCCTTCAGTGCACTTTCTGGAGCTTTACAGGCACAGCCATCTGGAAGGAAGCCCTGGGGATAAATGGCAAACTCACTGAAAAGATTTTATCTGGCTTTAAAAGCCAGATGAGATATAAAACCTGGAAAGTAGAGCTGATAAATGGGACACGAAGCAGACACCCTGCTTGGTCTGTTTCTGCCACCTGGCCTGGACTAGGCAGCAGAATATCAGATAGACACCATCAGCAGTTTCCAATCAACTCTATTTCTTCATTTAAACGCCAATCCAAATATGTAATCAGATTACCCAGAGGATGGGGTTAGGTTTAGGTTTGAAGTGGGGTTGCTTCCTGCACGTGTACCCAAACACTTTCAAAGACAAGGCTAACATTGCTACGTTTGTTTAGTTCAAGTCCATTTGGTTTGATGCCTATGAATTGTATATTTGAAATGTGTGACGCCTACTGCACCTTGGGAGATGAAGTTCTTCTCAAACTTGGTGAGGAACTCCAGATAGAGCAGGTCATCAGCTGTAAGGGCCTCCTCCCCCACCACTGCCTTCATGGCCTGCACGTCCTTTCCTATGGCATAACATGCATACTACACACACACACACAGGTTCAGTGAGGGTTGGTAAAATTCAGTATAAGTACTACAAAGCAGCTTTGTTCTTACAAGCTGGTTTGAAACATCAGAGTGGTCTCTGCGGGTCATTCCCTCCCCAATGGCAGATTTCATCAGTCGAGAGAGAGATGGCAGCACATTGATGGGGGGATAAATCTGACCAGGAGAAGAAACGAAGACAAAGTCAATCAGCTGTGGCGGCCACCTTGAATCAAATTTACTCCAAAGGTTAATCAGATGTGAATATACGTCTACTTTTTAAATTTCATTAAAATCCATTCAGTGGTTACTGAGATATTTTGCTAACAGACAAAACAATGTTAATGCCAAAATTTTAAGCAAAGACGTTATGCAATGTGTAACTCTCAGAGTTTGTGTTGGGGGTGATGCTCAGCGACTACCTCGTCAGTTTTGCACTCAACATCTGTAAAACTGACTGAGTTCGCTAAACTTGCTAAGATGTGGAGGTCTTCTTGATTCAGCTGGACTCCAAAGGTTAATCAGCTTTAGACATACATCCACTAAATATGACGGATTTCAAGCCAAGACAAAGTATTTCCAAATCGAGAGAAACAAGCCCAAAATGAAGTATCGAGTCAAAGCTTATACATTTAAAAAACACAAATAGACATCTTTTAGTCAGGATGAGCATGTGTGATATAAAATCCCAAGTCAAGACTCAAATCATAAACCTTCCTATTTAGTTTAATGTCATGACAAAGTTATGCATCAAGTTCCAGTTTAGTTCCTCAGTGATGTTTTAAACACTAAATCAGACCAACAAATCTAGTCCTGTTTGTCAGACTGAGATCTTTTTCTAGTCTGCCGAAGTCAGGATCTAAGTCACGATTTACTAAAGTCTAAATGAGCTCAGAGTCACTTCGGGCACGTCTAAAATCAAATCCTGAGAGGCTTGAGTCAAGTCAAAGTGATCACGTGTATGAATTTATCTAATGAGAGTTTATGTATCTACAGAGGAACGTGGCTGCTCTTCATTACCTGTCTGTTATGAAGCTGTCTGTCCACATAAATCTGCCCCTCGGTGATGTAACCAGTCAGGTCAGGAATAGGATGAGTGATGTCTGAAAAACAAAAATCATAGTGAAAACAACTCTGCAGCAGTATCTGTCCATGTGTGATGCTGTAAGAGTGTGTACCATCATTAGGCATGGTGAGGATGGGGATTTGGGTGATGGAGCCACTGCGTCCCTCAACTCTGCCAGCTCTCTCGTAGATCGTGGCTAGATCAGTGTACATGTAGCCGGGGAAACCTCGGCGACCTGGTACCTCCTCTCTGGCCGCAGATACCTAAGTGAGGCAAAAAAAAAGGGCATACAGCTTGTTTATGTTCTCATTCATTTATGATAAATGCATTTAAAACATGGCTGACCTCTCGAAGAGCCTCTGCGTAGGAGCTCATGTCTGTGAGGATGACAAGGACATGCTTCTCACACTGATAGGCCAGGTACTCAGCTGACGTCAGGGCCAGACGAGGCGTGATAATTCGTTCAATGCTGCAAAATAAAGTTCTGTTTATTTCCTATTTTCATACGTTGTTGTCTAACATAATATTTAATACCACTGCATGAAAACACTACAGAACTATGTCCTGATGCATGCTCAATAATACAGATGGATAAATCTAACTAGGTTGATTCAAGTCCTCTGGATGGATTATTCTTTGTTCAAACATTTAGTCTTTTATCCAAAAGACTTCTTCAGTCTGAGGAGCTGCAACAAACTCCGTTTTAAAAGCAGCACCTTCTCATGGTGGATTCATCACTTGTCAATCAGTCATTTCAGAGTCAGAGTTTCTTTATTGTCATTCGCACCTCATGTGGAACATGTGGTGGAGCGAAATTATGTACACGGGGTCCCAGTTACATCCAACAATAAAAAGTATAAGAAAAACAGTAATAACATCTAAGATATGAACTAAGAAAAACATCAACTAAATATACACTAAGCACTCATAACATAAAACATTGAACATCAGCACAAACATGAACATGAGTCTGTGAGCAGATGTGCACGCATGAACACATCAACATGAAACAGATCAGCAGCAACATGAAACAGATCAGCAGCAACATGATATGGTTTTTCACAGTGATTATTCTAGTTAGATATTCATGAGTCTAACAGCCTCAGGGTAGAAGCTGTTCCTCAGTCTAGTGGTTCTACACTTAATGCTCCTTAACCTCCTTCCTGAGGGGAGTGGGGCAAAAAGTGTGTGCTGGGTGAGTGGGGTCCTTCATGATGCAGGTGGCCCTCTTCCTGCATCTGGAGGTGTAGATGTCTGTGATGGTGGGGAGACTGACTCCAACAGATTTCTGTGCAGCCTTCACCACTCTCTGCAAAGCTTTTCTTTCTGCAGCTGTGCAGCCTCCAGGCCACACGTTGATGCTTGAGCACAGGATGCTCTCCACTGCACACCTGTAGAAGGAGGTGAGGACTGAGCTTCCCAGACCAGCTCGCCTCAGCCGTCTGAGGAAGTAGAGTCTCTGATGAGCTTTCTTGATCAGGCTGGTGGTGTTGTTGCTCCAGCTGAGGTTGTCATTCATGTGTACACCCAAGTACTTGTAGCTGGAGACCACTTCCACTGCAGATCCTCTTATGTTCAGGGGGGTGTAGATGTTTTTGTTCCTTCTGAAGTCCACAATCATCTCCTTTGTCTTCTTCACATTGATGTGAAGGCTATTCTCTCTGCACCAGCTCTCCAGGTGTTCCACCTCTTGCCTGTAGCTGGACTCATCATTGTTTGTGATGCATCCCACCACCGCTGTATCATCTGCAAACTTTACAATGTGACAGTCTGGATGGGTAGCTGCACAATCATATGTGAGCAGAGTAAACAGGAGGGGGCTCAACACACATCCCTGAGGAGAGCCAGTGCTGAGGGTTATGGTGGAGGAGGAGAGGTTGTGGATCCTCACTAACTGTGGTCTGTTTGTTAAAAAGTCTAGTACCCAGTTGCAAATGGAGGGGCTTAGTCCTAGTGTGGATAGTTTGTCCATCAGGGTTTGGGGGATCATGGTGTTGAAGGCGGATGTGAAGTCCACAAAGAGCATACGGACGTAAGAGTTTTTCTGCTCCAGGTGGAGCATTTCCTTACGTTGCAAGAGTTTCAGAGAAACTTAGATGTTTATTTTCTAAACACAACGCGTCCCCCGGCACAAACAGAGTAATAATGTGTATGCTGTTATGTGTATGTCTGATATTTATAAACCAATTTTTGGCTGAGATCTGACGATTTCATTCATTCTGACATGGAAACTATTGAACACTATCATTTTCAGATACTAGAGGGCCCTCGACTAAAATGGCAAACCAAGTGTCTCACTAATAGGTAAAAGTGGCTATTAATGAGACACTTGTCTTGCCATACCAAGCCACCTTCGTCTCGCTCTGGAACTCCTGGAGCAAACATCAAATCAGCTGCATTTTGCCGCGCTGCCCAGGAGAAATGCAGCTGATTTGACCATTAAAGTGCATTTATTAAGGAAAAGTTCAACTGAGACACACCTTTGCTATAATGTGGAGCAAACAAATAATTGTTTTTAAGTGTTAATCTTGTTAAATTCTTGTTAAAGTCCTCCCGTGCATGCTCCCTCGGCCGCCATTTGGCAGCTAATCAATTTTTGGCACAACACCGGCCCACAGTTCCAGGTTGTCAGCGGTGATGTATAATACATGCGACTTATACGGCGAAGCAACGTATTAATGGATTTTTCCACTTTATTACACATATTTGAACTGATGCGACTTATACGGCGGTGCGACGTGTACGGTGGAAAATACGGTAGTTTTGGCTGTCACCAGCAAACTGGTTGATCCACTATGAGATTTAATATTTAATATTTATTCACTAATCCATCAAGACACTTAAACATGACTGCAACTACAAAAATATCTGTTCCCCTTGTTTTCGTGCTTTATAGAACCTGTACATATGTACAAAGATGATAGCTGTAGTTTAGTAAAGACTCGCACGTGGGGTCGTTGGCCAGATTAAGAAACAGACAAACGTTGTCCATGGATCCGTTCTCCTCAAAGTCCGACTTGAAGAACCTGGCTGTCTCCATGTTAACCTGGATAAAAACAAAAGAAAGTTGGGCTTATAGTACAAAAAATAGAAAATATCAAATAAAACATTCAATGGCAGACAAAACTTTTGGTCAATATCAAGAAAAAACTGAGATGTAACAGAAAAATGTTCATCAGCTAAACTTGTTTTCCTCACTTCTTATGTTTTTAATTAATAAGCATATTTGTTTCCCCTTAGTGCACAGTAATTTTAACATACAGACCTATAGACATACATTCTGAATAAAAATAATTAAAAATTATAAACTTGTTAATGCATAAATAAAGTTATAGTTCCAGTCCACTATGTGCTTTGTCTTTGTTTATTCCTGCAGCAGTAAAAAAAGTACAAATTATGCGTAAAGTACTGTAATGCAATCATATGTAAAGTTTGGGGAAATCTTTTCAGTTTAAAGCTTTTTCTGGAAAAGCTTCTACAAATTTTCACTAATTTTAGAAAGAAACATTTTTTTAAACCTGATGTTTCAGCTGGCTGGCTGACAGTTGAACTAAAGCATGAAACCCACAGTGTGTGCAGAAAAATAAAACCGTCTCACCCCCATGGCTGCAAAAACAATAGCAAAGTTGTCCTCGCTGTAGTCCATCACATCTTTGGACTTCTTCACCAAACCGGCCTGCCGACAGATCTGAGCTGCAATCTGAGCAGCAGATAAGAAAAAGGAAATGAGACAAACTTTAAAAAAATTTAAATCTGAGAACAATCATTTACTCACCTTTCTTCTTAATTAAAGATTACATTCACAATGTTTTTTTTGTGTGTGTAATTATGTCAGAGCGGTGTAAATAAATGACACGTCGGATGAATTCATTAAATTTAACCAGGATGAGTCTACCAGATAGCTGACAGGAAATTAACCAGCTTTCTTTCACCTTGAAGATACCAGCGATTAGACCGCACCTGGAAAAATGCACTTGGAAGTTCAAATAGAAAAAGAGCCTATAGTTTCTATTATTACTATATTTGTTTGAGTTCGTATGTGAACACTGAAAAATCTGTTAAGCAAAAGAACTCAACAGTGGTGAAATGAGTCTTTTGCCAACTTGAGTGGGCAAATTTGACGGCGTATGACACATTGGAGAGATGTTCTCTTCACGGATGAATCCCGGTTTTCACTGTACTGTGCAGATGGTAGACGTATGGCGTTGTGTGGGTGAGTGGTTTGCTGATGTCAGCATTGTGAATCGAGTGGCCCATGGTGGCGGTGGGGTTATGGTATGAACAGGTCAGTGTTATAAACGAACACAAGTCCATTTAATTGATGGCACTTTGAATGCACAGAGATACGTGACGAGATCCTGCATGAGGCCCGTTGTTGTGCCATTCATCCACGACCATCACCTCATGTTGCAGCGTGATAGTGCACAGCGCTAGTGTTCCAGCTCCTGACAATATCCAGCAACTTTGCACAGCCATTGAAGAGGAGTGGACCAAGATTCCACAAGCCACAATCAACAACCTGACCAACTATGTGAAGATGATGTATAACACTGCATGAGGAAAATGGTGATCACCCCCCAACAAATACAGTAAAAATACACAGTAAAAGTAAACAGCACATTTTAGAGTGGCCTTTTATTGTGGTCAGCCTAAGGCAATAACCATGCTGTCTAATCAGCATCTTGATATGCCACACCAGTGATGTGATGGATTATCTCAGTAAAGGAGAAGTGCTCACTAACACAGATTTACACAAATTTGTGATCAGTATTTGAGGAAAATAAAAGGCTTTTTGTGTACACAGAAAAAGTTTTAGATCTTTGAGTTCAGCTCATGAAAAATGGGAGCAAAAACAAAAGTGATGCATTTATATTTTTAGTCAGTACTGTACTGTATACAGTAGTCCCTCGTTTATCACAGGGGATCCGTACCCTGAAGCCCCGCTATAAGTGAAAAACCGCAAAGTAGGAATAGTAGTACAAGTAGTAAGTAGTAGTTTATAGTTTATTTTAGTATTTAAATATATGTGTGTATATATATATAAAGGCATTTTCAACCATTCCCACTTTCTTGCAATATACTAAACAATCTTTCTAAACTCTTAATGCTCTAAAAGAGTACAGAATGTCATAATTTCAGCTCCCTGCCTCCTCTGCTCTCAGCCACCTGCAAGTGCTCTTGGCCACGCCCACTTCTCCGCTCTGCACGGAGAACATCTGATCAGCTGCAGCAGGAAGTTTATCCTGCAATGTCGGCTGCACAAAGGTGCAGGAGGTGCTAAATCATTTAAAATAATTCATTCTAAATAAAAATTGCATGCCTATCGTGCGGCTCATCCATCAATCAGCCAAGTGTGTGTCATGTCCACTCATTGTGAAAAACCGCGATAGAGCGAGTCCACGATAAACGAACCGCAAAGTAGCGATGGACTACTGTATATTAGATTGTGGATTCAGGGCTTTCTTTACTTTCCGAGTCAGAGTTCTGACTTCAGGTGTTTGCCCAGGTGGCTTTTTGTACATGGAACTCAGAAACTTTCACTTCCAGATACAAATGAATGGCACCATGTGTTTTGTGGTCGGGTGTAGAGCCGTGCTGGTCTGGGTAAAGATGTAAAGGATGAACTACGTTTATAGCAAAAAGCAAAAGAAAAGTAAGAGCATGTGTTTCATAGTGTATGTGTTCGTGTACCTCATTGTGTGGCAGCCCAGCAGCAGAGAAGATGGGTATTTTCTGCCCCCTAGCAATGCTGTTCATGCCATCAATGGCAGATATTCCAGTCTGGATCATCTCCTCAGGGTAAATACGGCACTGAGGGTTGATAGGCTGGCCTGTGACAAAATAAAAAAAGAGATATCCCATATTACAGACAAACTGAGAAGCAGCTTTATTTTTCCCAGAACTCTTTAAGCAAAAAAAATTTCCGAATGTACCCATAATGTCCAGGAAATCTTCAGCCAGGACTGCTGGCCCTCTGTCAATAGGTTTACCAGATCCATTAAACACCCGACCTGCAAACACGCATCGTTAGTGACTAAACATACTGTTAGTGGCACTCTTTGTTTTCTTCAGAATATAACTAAAATTGATGCATAGAAAGGTGGTAAAATGGATTTGTACCCAGCATGTCTTCGGAGACAGGTGTTCGTAAGATGTCTCCTGTAAACTCACAGCTGGTCTTCTTGGCGTCAATGCCAGAGGTCCCCTCAAACACCTGGAGAGAATTTGGTAAACTGTAAGTGAAGGTGGTACAAAGCATCCAATTCCATTATATTAATGTATTTTTTTATTGTCCTCCAGTTCAAACGTGTTGCTCAAAACTAAAAAATACATATTGGATTCTAAGTTTAGGTAAATGCAAACACACAACAAGCAACATCGGGTCATTATATGACAAAAACTGAACCAAACTCCTGGGCCAATCTGTGAGATTTCCTCTTTCAGCATTCAGTAAAACTCACTTTTTGTAGGAACATCTTGAAGTCACAGCCTTCTATATTACATAGTCAGTCCCCATTCATTTATGAGGACTTGTGTCCCACTCTTCTTTACAGTGTTGCTTTGATCAGGTTGAGGTTTGGTCTGGACCAGTGGTGTAGTTTATGCGATACGCGGGTATATGGAATACACCAACAAGAAAAGCTTAAGATTTTCAGTATACCCACTTAAAAGTACCCAATGATACATGACATATCATTAGACATGTGTCAATGATACGTTAAACAGCAGTTAAATGCTTCTGTAATAATCTACCTGTATGCAGCGCTTGTTTATTATATTCACTTATCCAGCGAAGTTTTGTATGATTCTGTACTTAATACTTAATACTTGAACATGGTTTGCTTTGATACTGTTTTATAAATTTTATAACATGTATTTAATACAAAGCCAACTATTGTACAAAGTTTGTTGTGCATTTATTCAAATATAAGCATCAGAGAAATTTGGAAATGTTCAGTATGCTTAAAAAAAATCTAAATAAATTGATGATTACAGTGTACTTTGGTTTCTAAGCACAGTATACCCACTACAAAAATGTAGACTACACCACTGGTCTGGACTTAAACTGAATCATTGCAACACCATAATTCTTCTCTTCTTCAGCCATTCTTTTGTAGGTATGCTCGGGATCATCGTTTCGTTGGATCAGTCATTTGCAGCCAAGCTTCAGCTGTCAGACAGATAGATTCATCTCTGACTACTTTGATGTATGATTGACAGCAAGGTGGCCAGGTCCTGTGGCTGCAAACCAAGCCCATATCATCAACCCTCCACCACTGTGTCTGGCAGCTGGTTTGAGGTATTTGTGCTGACCTGCTGGGTTTGGATTTTACAGAACATGCTGTTTACGACTTAACATCTCCACTTTGGTCGTGTCTATATAAAAACAGTTTCCAGATGTTTGTTCAGGTGCAGCTTTGCAAACCTCTGGCATGCAGCCATGTTCTTTTGAAAACAGAAGCTGCAGCAATACTAAAACGTTGGACCCAGGATGACCATTTAAATCCTCGTTGATTTAGCCTGGCAACATTTCAAAGTGCCAGTCAAACAAGGTGCTGCACCATTTAAAGTTTTTAAAAGTTTCTTTGTCACTCATGCACACAAAGTACCTGCACCACGGCTTTGGAACCAGAGACCTCCAGCACCTGTCCGCTCCTCCTGGTACCATCAGGCAGGGTGAGATGGACGATCTCGGCATACTTTGGAAACTGGTCAAGTGCAGCAAGATCACAAGAGTTAGTAACAATCAGATGTCTGTTGATTATGCCAGAAATGTTTGGGGTGTTCTGATTCTTTCATGTTCCCAGTTATCTCCTCAAAGATCACAAAGTTGAGCTAAAATCTAATAAAAGTTATTCAAAAATGCTAATTTAGAAAATGTCTTGGTCGCACACAGGATCATCACAATATCAGTCTAAATCAAAAACTAACTAAAGGTGAAAATTCACTTGGGGTTCTTTAAAGAGCTGATTGATCCTGATATGATCTTGATAAGATGTTGAGCCAGGTTGCTGCTGCAAAAAAGAAATCTGATGAATAAACATTTTGTGGGAAAATCAAATGTTGTGTATGCCTTTTTTGTTAAAAATAAAAGGACTTACCGGAGAATAATGCTATAATTATACCATTTTCTTGTAATGATTTGAATCTTATGTGTCAAACTCAAGGCCCGGGGGCCAAATGTGGCCCTCAATGACATCTTATATGGCCCCCAATATGTTATTTTAAATGTAAAATACTTTTATCACTTAATTTTTTTCAGCAATCTTTGATTATGATGTTAAAAGTGCAACAGAGAACATCAAATGAGACCAATCAAACTCTTGTTGAGGAAACTGCAACCAAGTAAAGATATTGGTATCAAACTTGAGTTAATGTAGATTCTGAAACTGGCCCTTAATTTGAAAAAAAAGTTTAACTTTTGACAGCCCTGATCTAAATCACATATTAGCCTTTGTGTCTCTGGGACTGTTTATGGGTTTTAGGAAGAAAAAAAAGTTTTCAAAAGGCTAAAGTCAATAAATCTAAATTACTGGGTGAACCATTTCTCTGCTCAGGTAAAAAAAAAAAATGAAAATCTAATTTTTATCATGTTCCATTAAGCATTTGGAAATAGCTTTTTGAGGCTGCTTCATCAATGGGCAAACGGCACCTTCTCTTTAATGGCCACATTCCATTTTCAAACCATTTGTCATATTAATCATCTGTTCCCGAGTTCATTTTTTAGTTGCATACCCTGTACATAGTCATTTGTGCCAAGACAGACAAACATTGCTCAAAAATAACAATGGCAGATGGTTAAAAGAAAGCATGGTGCAAATGCAAGAATGTAGTATTTGCAATGCAAACATCAACACGAACAGGCATTTTAATAAACTACAATAGTTTAATTGTTCATGTTTAGAGTTAATCAACAATTCTTATTTAAACCAACTGAGATTATGATCAGAATGCATTACACTGGATTAAATTAAATAGTTATTTAATCATTTATCCAATGTTTTAAACTGTACTTCTTGGCACCTTGTTAGTTCAGCTATAATAAATACCTGAGTGTCTTTTATCTATTGTGCGATTGTCTTGGATGTTTGTTGGAAGTAAAATAAATATTCAAAACTAGTATTTAATTCAAAAAATGAAAGCATTACAACTTTTTAAAAAATAAATTAAATAAAAAAAGTCATTTTGTAGATGAAAAGCTTCAAGTTGAGTGTATAAAACGATGCAATGTTGAATAAATGCATGTGACCAGAAACAAAAACCACATTTTCCTTCTCCAGGACCAAGACATGGTGAGCGGCAGAATTTGTTCTTGTTGTTAGACAAATACAAGCAGAGCAGCGGGTCAGTCTCACCTTCACCTGATCCAAAATCACCAACGGACCGTTGACTCCAGACACTGTTTTATATGCTGAGGAGGAGGAGAAGAACACATTAAACAACAGAGCAAGTGAAGCCTTTTTCTTTGCAGCTTTGCAAGAGAAAATCATACTCTTATTAATAAAAGCTAAAAATTAAACGACATTTAAACAACTGTTTATTGTCTGTTGATGCCATTAAATATAACTGCTCCTGAAGACCAACAGCGCTCATCAAAGCAAATCAAAAGCAAAATAAGTTTATCACGTGAAAATAAAGATATTTTAGAAGTTTTTTTTTGTTGTTGTTGTTGTTGAAACCAACACAAATCCTAAATCTTTGCTTGTGTTTTAAAACCAGTTTATAAATGCTTTTATTTTGAAGGTGAGTGGATGCTGACTTCAGAAGCATCTGCGCTGCTGTCTCAAGAGCGATGTGAATATAAATATTAACATACTGGGTACAATTTCAATGCTCGGGAACATCTCCGCAGGTGAGGGCAGTTTGCGAGAGGTTTTGGAGTTGCTGTGTCAGCTCACAGTAAAAATACAAACTGATACAAAGTGTAGAGGTTTTAACAACATGTGGATGTCTAAGGATTTGTTTAGGGAAGTCAGTAGCAAAACCAACAGCACAAACAATTTATTTCACTGGATGAACAAAAATGGCATAAAAAACACAATTTTTAAGTTGTTCATTTGATGCAGGTATTTAAAGTGCTGCAAAACAGACTCCTTACCTTGATACTAATGTTTTTATGTTTGTAGACTCGTTCAGATTTTTATTATCCTGTCATGATGTTAATGGTTGAGGAGCATTAACCACTAGACTGAGGAACAGCTTCTACCCTGAAATGTTAAACTCATGAATCTCGAACCAGAATAATCACTGTGAAAAATCGCATCATGTTGCTGCTGATCTGTTTCATGTTGCTGCTGATCTGTTTCATG